GGGAAGGTGTGTAAGTGTTAGTCGTGTGGGGATGCCCCCTCACGGGGGCGTACGTGTCTTTTGGTGTATTTGTCTGTCTGGTATATTGTTTGTCGGGGGTCGCAATTTTAAAGAAATGTATTCTAAAGTAATGCAAATAACTGATAAATAAGTAAAAACTTACCTGGGCATAACCCCGGCACAGGTGCTGTAACAAAGATGCCGACGGCGTCTATGCTTAAGCCGGGGATTAGGTCGGTGATTAAAAGGAAAGAAAGGGATTCTTTCCAGGTAGCCTTAATAAAGGCAGGTAGAAATTGCTCCTTGCACTACACTTTCACAAAACACGTGTGCTCTGGTCGGCTGCCCGCTAGGAGCCCATAAAGCGATATTTTGAGAAACGGTGTCCTGCGTTGCTTTAATATTATGAGAAATAGCAGAGTACTCTGAAATTAAAATTGCAACTGCGGAACTTCTGGTCGGAGGGAGCATGTACTTTGGAAGTATATCTGTAACGAATGTCGATGAAATTTTATTTAGTTACCTCTCTTATCTATGATTTTAAACCCCCGAAATAGTCGAAATACTGTACTGGAGCTGAATACCTAAATGTTTTTGTAATTTTCTAACTAGTATCTATGTAGTTTAGGGGTTATAGCCCGTGTTTCGGTGTTTCTATTGCACTTTTAATACAAATAATTTAGTTTTTAATTATTTTGAGCTAAGCAAATAATTTTACGGAACATTTATACACATAAAATGTGTAGCGTTTTCCTCCAAATTCTAAAACGGATTTTCAATTAAGTATAAATGAACTAATTATAAAACAGAAGTTTGTTTTTTTAATAAATATTTTCTAAATTACAGTGAGCATACAGATAAATTTACATTCACAACACATATTATAATTACAAAAAACATTTTAGTACAATTTTATTGGCAATCTGTGATTCAAAATATTTTTTTATATATGTTGACATCATTGGAGCATACTGCACACAAAGTGATGGGGCCGTTTAAAAAAACTCTAGCTTTGGGCAACATTTAATAAATGGAACGTTAAATATTCCACCTGGAGCATGTTTGCCTAATAACTGATAAGCTATACCTATATATTTTATAGGCGATGAAGCTTTTCCTCCCCAGATTAAATTGTTAAGACCTTACAGCAAAAGAACAACTGGTCCAAAGCCAGAAGATGAGTTAATTTTTAATCATCGGTAAGGAAATAAATTTAAAATTGCTACTGCTTTGTGATATACATTAAATTCTTATTTGTCAAAGGCTAGAGGGACCGTCGAAAATACATTTGGTATTGTGGTTACCAAGTTCAGAATTTTCATCGTGTGCTAAATGCAGCTCCAGTGAACATGTTTTCAGCCACGAAAATTGAATAATTCCAAATATTTCGAATTTTCACCACCAAGAACGGCGGTGACAGCACTTTTAGCATTTAGTCGATGTTTCGCATTGTATTAGCTATGTCCACTCCAAATTTGGTTTAGTGTAACTCTCTCGGTTTACGGTTTTCGAAAATACAATACCTACAGGGTGTTTCACGGTGACGGCCCATTAGAATTATTTCAGACTACTTCGATTTGAATTTTGAAAATTTGGGATACCGGGTTTTCGGGCATGCTCTTCTCAACTAAAATAATGGCGTCCACGTACCACTTCGCCATCAACTTGCTTATTTTAAATGGAACATCTTATATATTATTGCAATTTTGGATTCTACGTGTTATTTTCGGTGGACTTTTATGAAGTTTCCCTATTCCTAAAATTAACCGTTTTCGAGATATTTAAATTTCAAAGTGGCCTAATTGCATACAGGGTGCTAGAAATTTAATGCCGAGTTTAGTTAACTTCAATACAAACAGAATGTTTTACGTTCTAAGTGTTCTATTTTCAAACATGAATTCGAAAAATGACATAAAGGGCCATTTTGTGATTGGTGTGTATTCCATGCCACTGCGAGTTAGACAGTTTATTTTCTGCTTTTCTAGGCAAAATTTTTACCTTAATGACTTCCACTTCTTACAGTATTCAACTAAAATATGTTATTTTATTAGAATTACACCTATAGTACAATATTACCTGGAAGTTTAACAGACAGAGATACATTTTCCTATGCTCTACCAGTAAGTATATAGTAAGCTTTTATAATTTATTATTATAACATATACGTTAATTACTATTGATAGACGTCTTGAGAAAGAATCGTTAATTCAAAGTGTGGTCGTAACAACTGTTAATAGTTGGAGATATTCAGGCAGTTATTTTTAGAATTCTGATTTAATAATAACACACCTGCATTAAATTAAATGTCACAAAAGCCTCGCTTTTGATAAAACATTGCTAAGCCCTCAATTTTGAAAGTTATTATTATTCTTTAAAAAATGTACTTTCAAATTCAAGTCTCTTGTAAGCATGTAGCTTATCAAAAATTGGTCAGAATTAGGTTTTTTCACATCATTTACAGCTTTTGTCAGTAAACAATTTCTTTAGATTGCAGTGTCATTTACACAGCTACAAAGACTAATAACGTTTCTCATCAGAAGTGAAGTTAAATATAAGCACAATAGAACTTAGTTCCTTACAGAAATCAGATATTTTATTGTTTTTTTCGAAATTCATGGCAGGGAAGGTCGATATGGACACACTACGTAGCAAGTCGTGCTCTACATACGGTGCAGATAGCTGAGGTAACAGTAGCAGAAATATGGCAACACTGTTACACTTTTCGTATATTTTTTTGTTCTCAAAGATATGACAAACAAAACATACTTAACGTACATCGAAACATGTAATTTTGAACAATTAGAATCATAACTGTAACATACGTTATAAAGACAGCATGTAGACTTAAGTCATATTTAATTCATTTAATGTTACAGTACAAATAAAGTCCAAAACTTAATACTACGTCTTAATATTATCAAATATGAAAACTTTTATCATTATTAATTAAGAATCTTTTAAAGTTAAATAGAAAAGAGCATCGACCCAATCTTTCATCAAAATTACTTGATATTTCATAATCCATATATTCCTAGAAAGTCTCATAGTCTGCAAAATTGTTGCATTAGCATAAAACTGAACAATCAGGTGCAAACGTCACTATCTTCAGAGTGATTGATAATTAGGACAATGTAGAAATCAACCACTCGGGGGACATTGCAAGCACAGCGAAAACGGCTGTACAGGGTTCCATGCTCCAAAATATGGCGGCTCGAGATTTCCCTTCAGATTGTCGTGGAGTGAGTTGTAAGTGTCCCAGGTCTCGCCCTGCCTGATGATATTTGGAGTTTGGTAAGATTTTGTTTGTAAATTATTAAACTAGCCTCCAGATAGGAAATTTAACAAAACCAATGCCTTATATTCCTCCATTTTATGTGATTTGTGCGTTTGGCTATTCGAAAACTAATATATCATTATTTGTTGAATACTGCCTTTGAGTTATACCCCCAGTGCGACCAAGGTAGGTAATTTGAGTCCAGCGAGTTATTTTTGAAAATTAAAGTAATTATGGAAATTAATTTTTTTTTAATTTCTCTAGACATATATTTTGAAAATCGTTGTCTACGTGGAAGGTAAGGACCTATTACTTTTCTACATCGTAAACTGTATCGTTATTTAAAATACACATGTACACATTTATTTTGCTCTGAATATTTCCATCGCTGTCATATTCACATTTGTAGCTCATACGTGCTTCCATTTCTGACTATACTTCGTACGAAGGGTAGTAATCCACATCTGCGAACGTTTTTTCTGCATCAAATGAGGTCTCCTCAAAGACTTTTTAAGGTTTGTTATTTTAGCAAAACATACCAGTACAATTGCATTTACGAGAGCTCTTTGTGTTTCAAAACTTGATATTTAATACTTTTCTTGTATTTAGTTTCGTAATCGCAGTCTCTACACCTGTACATTTGAACCTATGGGGACTCTCTATGTTTCAGTTGGTGCTTTTTGATATTGCCTTTGTACTTAGTTTCGAAATCGCAGTCCTTACACCCGTACATTTGAACCTGCGAAGGATCTTTATGCTTCACTTGGTGCTTTTTGATAAAACTTTTGTATTTAGCTTCATAATTGCAATCCTCACACCTGTACATTTTGAACTTTGAGGGGTCTTTATGTCTCAACTGACGGTTTTGAAGTAATTTCTTATTCTCAGTTTCATATTCACAGGATCGACATCTATATCCTTCCGAATTGTTCTCGTGTCTTGCACAGCGTGCTGTAAAATGGCTCTTGCATCCAGTTTGGTAAATAGGTTTATTGCATTTGTACAATACCTTGCACTCCCGCTTGGTTTTCGCATTACATTTGTTTTCCGATCCATTCTCATTTTTACGTCCATCCACTTCCGCATCTTTACAATCACTCTTCTCGGATGGATCATTGTCGAGGTTCTGCAGTGGCGTATCACTGAAAAAATTCCAAACAAAATTCCATTTAAATCAGACAAAGTATTTTAGTGGATATGAACCAATATTTTTTGCCAACTTTGATGCTGTTTGCAACTTGGATGCGACTTGGCACAGAGATAATTTGCATTAAAATATATTTTGGAGGCTTTGTGTGGGTTCTCATGAGGCACAGAAACTGTCAGTGGAAGTGTGATAAAATTCTATAAGTATTAATGAAAATTTATGATATTTATCTTTAAAAGTGTCACTAACACAATAGCTTCATCATTTCACATTTAAAATTCGGGTGTGATACAACTGTACCAGATCTTTGTGGTTAGATGAACTGAGCCGGCCTCTTCGTACAGTATAGAAAAAATAATACTCGTTAGAAAAATGGTAAGTTCACAAGTACTTAATGTGAATTTTACATCTGAATACAAAACCTATGACTGACAACAATTAGCCAAGAAAATCAGGGCATTTTCCTCTGACGAACTTAAAAACTTTCCCTTATTATATTTATTAAAAATGAAAATAAAACATTGTATTTTTTTAATTCTGATTTTAACGAGTTCTTTAGTGAAAACTGATAAAGTATCCTTTATACCCACATGCAACCTAAAGCCATGCTGATTATTGTGTCAAAATCTTATACTTTTTCCAAGTAAATCATTAACTAAGCTTTTAATTGGTCAAAAATCTTTGTAACATTATTTATAACCAACGTAAGCCTATTATTTATTACAATTTACCAATCTTATAAGCTGGTATAGTAATTGATTGGTTCCATGAGTACAATAAGACTCCTATTTGGTAACACGCTAATATGAATTAAAAATTTAACGATATACTTATGCACTCATTTCATTGTGTAAATCGTGACAGTACCACGAGCATGCCCTGCACCAATTTTTAGATTAATGCTAAAATAGTCTTCCCTTACCTTCCTCCCTCATCTTCAGATTTTATGTCGACACATTCAGTTTTGATCGACATTTCCATCTCGCTAATATTGAATTCTTTGCCCAGGTTTTCAGTTTTAACAAATATGTCAGACGGTGATGTATCTATTCGACTTTCTGTGGGTGAATTATCATAAGCACCTCTAATTTTTTCCTCTACTTCTAGGCATTCTCTAAGGAAATTGTTGTGGGTGCACAGGGAATCAAAACATTCCTTACATACAACGGGATCTTTGATGATATTTATATTCTGCAAATTTGTTTCATTAAATTGCGAACAATGCAAATATTTAGTATCGTTTATACCATTTCAGGAGTCAATTTCTGAATAGCTTCGAGTTCCTCTTTACGTATGCACCTAAACTCACTTTTTACCAAGTTCATACACAATCGACATATTTCCTGACTATCTGAAATTGATTCGATTCTCTTTTCCTTCCTGTATACTTCCCTTATGTCGAGCTGTAACATTTTTTCGCAATCCACATGTGGAATAATTGTGCTATCGGTATTCAGACACGATGACTTGAATTCGAATGCCGCATATAATTTTCTTCTGCAAGCATTACATATAACATTTTTGCTCTCATCATCAAATTCCTGAAATGTACGCAACTTTAACCAAATAGAAAGAGAATAACTTTGGCAGAAATTAACAATTACTGCTAAGTCGCTACACACTTATCTAATATCTTCACTGACTTACCAGTTTTAACAAAAGAACATCGAGAATGTCTCTAATAACGTTTTCTATTACTTCAAAACTTTTAACGATAACAGTTTTAAGGCAAAGCTTACAGGAAAATTCTTGAACACCAGTCATTATTTCCTTTGAAATGTAAATATGCAATTGTGATTTGCGTCGGTTGTTTAACCTCAATTAAATCATTGGATGGAAGGCAGAGTTCACAACCTGAAGTTTTACTTTACCGACGGCGACGAGCGACAAGTAAATTTCATAGCAAGAACGCTACATATTTATCTATGGCTACATCTGACGAATGGATGAAATGGTGCCACATACTTGTATCACAGAAGATAAAACAACTTTATCTTCTGTGCTTGTATAGAAGTATTAGAAACTGTTAGAAATTACAAAGGTGCTGAAAAAAATTATTGACACGTGAGTCTCAGTCAGCAAGACAGCACACGTTACCTAAGTCAGTTCCTAGCGGGCAGCCGACCAGAGCACACGTGTTTTGTGAAAGTGTAGTGCAAGGAGCAAATTCT